GGGGGGGGGCCAGTTTCTACACCCCTGGATCTCCGATAGGATGGAGACTAGTGGTTATATTGCTTTGACTCCTGGGAAACCAAAGAGACCTGGATTCAGATCCAGACTCTACTGCATATTAGCTGTGTGACCTTGGGAAAGGTGCTTTCCTTCTCTGAGCCTTAAGCGTTCATTTCTAGGAGATGGGGGTAATCCTAGTACATAGCGCACAGGATTATTGTGAGCATCCAATGACACATGAATGATGACTATAATAACAATAAAGTCTACCTTCATTTACCCCCTGCTTAACACAATTTCTTTGGCTCCCAGGACTCAGTTACCTCATTTTCCCCAAACCTCTGTGGTCACTCCTTTCTCAGCTCCCTTTGCTGGCTCTTGTCATCTCTCTGATTGTCTTTGAATACTGGACTAGCTCAGGCTTCAGCACTTCAACTAATTTTTTGGTTTGTTTCTGTCTCTGCTCATCCATCCAGATGCCATGACCCGCCCACCAGCCCAGACTCTCCCCTGAACTCTGACCTCATATATCATATCGCTAACATCCTAGATCAGGGGGTCAGCAAACTACGACCCACAGGCTGAACCCAGCCTGCCAAATCCAGAGAAGAATGGGTTTTACTTTTTTTTTTTTTTTTTTTTTTTGATTGAAAAGCTGTCAGAGAAGACTATCTCGTGGTACGTGAAAATGATATAAAATTCAAATGTCAGTGCCTGTAAAGGAAGTTTAATTGGAACCCAGCCACACTCATCCACTCACGCATCATCTCTGGCTATTTTAAGGAGTAGCAGCAACAGAGATCACACGCCCCACAAAGCCTAAGAAACTGTACGGCACTTTGTGAGTCCTTTCCTATACTGACTCCTGTCCTACACAGTATCTCGAATAGGCACCCTCAATTTATTTTTGTAATTTTGGGGGGTAAAGGCACCTCAATTTAACATGTCCAAAACTGAGCTCATGATAGCCCTCCTTATAATAAACTGGGTAAGAGAAAATAAAACAAATACAATAAAATACCAGCTGTTCCAGCAGATGAATCTCCCCCACCCCTACCCCACCACATTCTCTGGTGCTCAGGCCACAGCCTTAGAGCAGTGACTCTCAATTAGGGGCGATTTTATTCCTAGTCTGGAGACAGTTGACAATTTTGGTGTCCACACCGGTGGGTGCTGCTGGTGTTTAAAAGGTAGAGCCCAGGGATGCTGCTACACATCCTACAACACGCAGGACGCACCCCCCAACCCCAGCCCCACAGCCGCAACACGGAATTATCCATCCCCAAATGTCAACAGCGCTGAGTTTGGGAAACCCCGCTTTCGAGACACCCCGACACTTCTCTCTCATATCCTACAACTGCCCCATCAGCAATTCCTGCCCGCTGTAGCAGCAGAATATACTCACAGTTCAAACCCAAACTCTCAGCCCAGATAAGCCACCTCCCATTCTCCCTTTTCCTTTCCTCCTAAATACTCAACACAGCAGCAAGAGCGATGCCCTTAACCTTTAAGCCAGCTCCTGTCACTCCTCCCCTCCAGAGCAAATTACATTCCAGGACCTGGAAGTTCGTGTTTCCGCCTTGACTGCACCTCCTACCGTGTCCCTCCTCACCTCCTCTGCCTGGGCCACGCGGGCCTCTCCTGATGGTCAAACACAAGGCACATTCCCACTGCAGAGCCTAAGCAGTGTTTCTACAGCCTGAAGCATTTCCCTCCAGAAGCCACATGGCTCCATCTCTGGGTTCATTTAGCCTACCCCTCGGATGCCACCTGCTCAGTCCCCTTTATCTCCAATTTCTGCAGTTTCACACTCTTGCCCCTAACGCTTCCCATCCCCTCCCTTGCTCTTTTTCCTCCTTTGCACTCAGCTCTTACAGCCTAGATGTTGTATTTATTTTTCTCCCTTATTATCTGTCTCTCCTTCTAGAATATAAGACATATAAAAACAGGGGTCGGGCTTCCCTGGTGGCGCAGTGGTTGGGAGTCCGCCTGCCGATGCAGGGGACGCGGGTTCGTGCCCCGGTCCGGGAAGATCCCACCTGCCAGAACTCTTGAGTCCCAGCTGTTGCCGCACCGTGGCGCTAAGATCGTGGGCATTTGACTAGGGAATTTGAGATGGCATCCTCTGGTCATGTCAGATATGATTTGAAATGATCCGCTCTTTGGTCAGGGTTTTTGTCACTCATGGCCCCTTCTCTTGTTCTATGCCAACAACTGTGTCCTCCATTCAGAACAAACGCCACATGTGCACTGCTGTACACAGACACACACACACACACACACACACACACACACACACATCACACCTTCTTCCCCCCTTGACCCTGCTACTGTTCCTCTCAAACATGAAGGGAAGCGGGCTTCCCTGGTGGCGCAGTGGTTGAGAGTCCGCCTGCCGATGCAGGGGACGCGGGTTCGTGCCCCGGTCCGGGAAGATCCCACATGCCGCGGAGCGGCTGGGCCCGTGAGCCATGGCCGCTGAGCCTGCGCGTCCGGAGCCTGTGCTCCGCGACGGGAGAGGCCACAGCAGTGAGAGGCCTGCGTACCGCAAACAAACAAACAAACAAAAAGGGTAACCAACAAGGACCTACTGTAAAGCACAGAGAACTCTGCTCAATGTTGTGTGGCAGCCTGGATGGGAGGGGAGTCTGGGGGAGAATGGATACATGGATATGTACGGCTGAGTTGCTTTGCTGTGCACCTGAAACTATCACAACATTGTTAATTAGCTATACTCCAACATAAAATAAAAAGTTAAAAAAAAAACAAACAGGTTTCTTTGCTGTTGGTTTTTTTTCTCCTTCCACTTCCATAGCTCCAGAATCAAGAACAGTGCCTGGCACATAGTATAAACTCAATAAATAGTGGTTGTTGAGGAGGGGATGAATACATGGAATGATTACTATTTGCTGTACACTGTCCAGCAGTGTATAATGAGAAACTGGGTGTCAAATTATAACATAATGAGAAAATTGGATGGGTGTGAGGCAATAGCGACCAGAGGTGACGGGAGAAAGGGAGACCCTCGTGCCTGATCTGAGGAAGCAGCTGCTACTCGGATGCAGCCAACCGTGGCCACTGCAGGATACTGGCCCCGTGTTGTCAGATCTTCCACTAGTTCAAAAGAAGCTGGAAATCGGATTTTCAATGTGCAATCTCCCTATTTTTAAATGTTGGCAACTGATTCAGATTTTGGTTTCAGTTTTAAACACTCCACACACCAGACAAAGCATATCTGCAAATCCCATCCATCAGACCTGAGTTCTCTTGGCTCTTCCCCAGTCACAGCTGGGTTACCTTGGGCAAGTAGCTTAACATCTCTGAGCCTCGGTTTCCTCATGCTCAACAGGAGGGTGGTGCCCTGCCGCCCCCCCCCCCCCCCCTATTAAATGAGACAATAACATTCCTTGCACATCAAGAGTGCCCAGCAAGGGACTTCCCTGGTGGCACAGCAGCTAAGGGTCCACCTGCCAATGCAGGGGATGCGGGTTCGAGCCCTGGTCCGGGAGGATTCCCACATGCCGCTGAGCAACTAAGTCCCTTCGCCACAACTACTGAGCCTGAGCTCTAGAGCCCGTGAGCCACAATTACTGAGCCCTCGTGCCACAACTACTGAAGCCCGCGCGCCTAGAGCCCGTGCTCCGCAACAAGAGAAGCCACCTCAATGAGAAGCCCGCGCACCGCAACCAAGAGTAGCCCCCGCTCGCCGCACCTAGAGAAAGCTTGCGCGCAGCAATGAAGACCCAACACAGCCAAAAATTAAAAAGAAAAAAGAGTGCCCAGCAAAATGGAGGAGGAAAAGATGGGGAAAAGAGAGGGATAAAAAGAGAAGTGAAGGGATTTTGATCTTTTTGGCCCTGGAGAGGGAAATTGGGGATTGGCCGGTCCCACTCCTTCATGTTGCAGACCAGGGCCCTGAGGCTTGGGCAGGTGACAAGATAGCGATCACACAGGGGTAGAGATGCACAGGAGGACTGGGACCCGGGTGTCCTGCTCCCCGGCCCATCACTTCCACCCTATGTGGAAAGAAATGGCAAAGCTGAGAGCAAAACCAAACCAACAGAGGAGCTGCTAAGAGGAGGAGGCCTGGCGTGGGGGGTGGGGGGCCGAGGGAGCTAGCTGGGAGGGAGACCGCAAGAGGGGAGTAGGACCAAGCAAAGAGCAAAGACGGACATTAGAAGAGGTGGTGGCCTCAGCGCCGAGAAACAGGGCCTGGAAGGGGGAGGCCAAAGGGAGGATGGATGGAGAGAAGATGAGGCAGAAGCATCTAACGACCAAGGAGGACGGGGACCCACGGCCGGGGCTGGGAGGCCTGATGGGGAGAGGCGGGCAGACAAGATCCACCGGAGGACAAGCCACAGAGAGGAAAGAGGAGAGGGCCGTGAGTTACGGGCAGTTAGGGCAGGATGTTTTAGGAGAGAAACAGCCAAAGTGAGGCCAAAGGGACAGAGGAGATGGGGAAGCCGCTGTGACTGGGTCCATAAGAGGTAGGGGCGCTCAGAGGGCAGAGGTAGGACGTGGGGGAGAGAAGATGCAAAGGGCAAAAGGAGGAGGGGGGCCCAGCTCCAGGGTGAGCGGGAAGCGGGGAGGCAAAGCAGAGCCTGCCAGTGCTGGGATCGAGGCAGAGGGAGCCCCTCGCGCAGGGAGGCCAGGCACCCACAGGGGTGAGAGGGAGGGAGGGGCGCAGGCTTTCCCCACGAATGCAGGAAGGATAAGAGTAGGGGGGTCCCGAGCGGAGGGGGCGCAGGACGTGCCGAGGGACGGAGAGGCGTCAGTGGGGAGGGTCGAGGCGAGGGGGGCGGGATTCAGAGGAGGGTCGGCACGCAGAGAAGAGTGGGACGGACGGACGGACGGACGGACGGACGGACGGACGGGGAAGGTGGGTGGGCAGGCGTGGCATGGAGCCCAGGAGCAGGCGCGGGGCCGCGGTGCGGACCACAGGAAGCGGGAGGTTCCGGGAGGAAGCCCGGCCGGCCGCGGGCGGGGCGAGGGCCGCGAGGCCGGGGCGGCCCAGCCTACCTTCCAGGCAGCAGATCCTCCAGAGGCCCGAGTGCGTGAGCCCGCCGGGGTCTTTCTTCTCCGAGGAGCCGCTGCCCCCGCGGCGGGGCCCGTCGTCGCCAGCCGTCAGGTTGGTGGTGTTGCAGATGAAGGCGCGCGCGTACAGCCAGTAGTCCGTGCTGATGGCGATGGTCATGAGGCCGAAGGCCGCGAAGGCGCCCACCGTGGTGAGCAACACCTGCACCCCCTTCTCGCACCAGAGGCCCCTCTCGTCGTTCCAGCGCTTCAGCGACTCCAGTTTGACCACGGGCAGCCGGGGGGCCGTGGGCCACCACCGGGGCAGCGGGGGCGGGGCCGTGCCGGCGGCTGGGGGGGGTCACAGCACAGGCAGAAGGGGGGGGCCCGGGGCCAGGGGCTGGGGAGGGGCCGGCGAGGAGGAGGCTGAGGCCGGGGACGGGGTCAGAAGGCAGCCATGGTCGCCAGCTGGTGGAGGGCAGGGAGTGAGATAAAGGATTAGACAGGAGCGCTCACCTCCCTGGATACCCCTTTACCTGCACCCCAGCCCCCCAAAGAAACCCTATTCTTTCCTCGGTCGAAGAAACTCCTTCCACTCTGCTTGCCACTGCCACTTCTCTGGAAAACAATCTCCCTGTGTCCAAGAAATTCTTCCTACTAATCCCACTCTGAGGCGTAACCTCGGCATCCCTGAGTGCCGTAGGGCAGGCCTCCAGGCCCCTCCAGCTCCGCCCCCCCCCCCCCCCCCCCCCCCCCCCCCCCCTCACCGTCCTCCCCACAGGGAAAGCGTCCCTCACTCCAGCCCCCAGTGCCTCTTCCTCCCCAGGAACCCCTGTCCTGTTCCTCATTTCTTATAAAATGTTCTCATAAGGTTCCACCCACTCCCTACCTTCCCCTGCAAGGCCCACTTCACCTACTATGGCCCCTACTTAGGAAAAATAAATCTCTCAATCTCTCCTCAGCTGAAAAAAACAAAAACAAAAACAACAAACACAACAAAACCCAGATCTTCCAAACTCATCCCCACAGTTTGCACAACTCAGAAAACCACACAGTTGTCATCAGTACCACCCCACCTCCACAGTCTCCTCTGCATGGCAACTCCTACCCCACTCAGAAGCCTATGTCTCTGGACCAGGGTTCTCAACCTTGGTGACACCTTGAAACCACCAGAGGATACTGATACTTGAGAAATTCCGATTTCATTGGTCTGGGGTGTGGCCCTGAGCATCTAGGTTTTTAAAACTTCCCCGGGGGATTCTTTCAAAGAATCCAACACCATTGGACCCCCTGGTTTAGAAGAATGCCCCCCCCATCTCCATCACATTCCCTCTAACCGCCCCACTTGTCTTCCTTGGACCACTCTCCCATCCCCTACTATGTCTTTAACTCAAGGAAAATACTCCACTCTTTCGTTTGCTTACAGGAGTCTTCCAAATCTGGTCCTCAGTATCTCTACAACTTAGACAAACTCATCATAGCCATCACTTTCTCCTCCATTAAGAAAAATTTCTTCCGTGAGTTGCAGGGCATTTTCTACTCACAGGAATCCCTTTCTCCAGACCCCAAATTCCTCTCCATTCAGAAATCTCCCAAGCTCTGACCTGTATATTCACTGTTGTGGAAGGAAATATCCCCACTCTACCCAGCATCCCCCCACCCCCTTCCTCTGCCCTTCCACCATCTCCCACGACCTCCAAATGTCCTCTCTGTAGCCCTTGTTATGGGGGTGAACCCCCCAATTCCAGATCTCCCCAGCTCACTTCGACCTCCCGATGCCTCTTGAACTTATAAGAACCTCCCCCACACACACCCTGACTTCTCTTACATCACAAAGAATCCCCTTCACTCTTGCCACCTTCCTCCACGTACTCTAGCTCCCAGCATCGCTTCTGCTCAGGAGAATCCCCTTCAGGTCTCCCTCAGACTTCCCTTCTTGGGAACACCCCCAGAATTCCCCCTTCTATTTCACCTGTGCAGGAACATACACCATACACTCAGTTTTCTTCCAAATTTCAAAAGACCCCCTCCATAGACAGTGCCCCTTAGAAAAATTTGATCCACAAGACCACAACTCTCTTTCAGTTGGGAATAATTTCCCACTCTGCAGCCACCAAGGGTCCATTCATTTTCCTCTCCCACAGCACCCCATCACCACGCCCCCTGCCCTGCCTTTTCTACCTTACCCCAACCCTCCTTCCAGGCATGCATCCCTTACCAGCTTCCACCACTCACTCTATCTATCCTGGACTTCTCCCCCCAAACCCCCATTCTAGTTAAGAGCCTGGAAGCCTTAGAGGAGGAAACAAACAAACAAACAAACAAACCTGATTCTGGGTCCCAGTACCAGGGTGACCTTGGCCTCTTCCGCCCCCATCAGCTGGCCCTCACTGGGTCTGCTCCAAGGAGGGGTGCTGGAAAGGTTGTCTATGGGGGGGGGGTCTCCATGGCAACTGGGCCTAGTGCCCCACACGTGTGTTCGCTCCTCACCTCCACTCCTGCCTGCCCACGCGCGGCCCCTGCCCTGGCCGCATTCAACAGTGCCCTGGACGCTGACATCCCTGTGGCCTCCCTGGCCTCACTCTGGCCGCTTCCTGTCCTAACCTCTCCAGAAAGACGCCGAGTTTCCTCTCCTCTTCATCTCTCGGCCTCTTCTGCCCGCTTCTGTGCCCCCTCACCACCAGCACCACCGCCTCCACTGTCCTAGCAGATTTCTGCCTCCAAGGGGGGTGGGAGGGTGAGCCTGTGACCACAGGATGTACCCCTTCCCCTGCTGGGCCCCCTAGGACCCGGGATAAGGAGGGGATGGAGAGGGGAGGCGAATGATGGAAATTCTCCATCATATAAAGATTCGAAGATCTTTTCATTTTGTCGATTTGGGGGGCACTCTGCTTGGTTTTAGGGGTTCTTCCTTTAGTCCATCTGTCAGCGGGAGCAAAGGAGGGAGCAGGGGACCCCCCCCAATTCGAAAGCTCCGGGATGTGAGAGGGGTCATCATCCCCTCTCCCTCTGAAGGGGACCAGCTCCTTCCTCCAGAATTAGGGGGGTCACAGAGCCTTCATTTTACATCCACCCACCTCCGATTAATAAAAAGATCTCTCTCACCTCTGTTAACGATAGGTCAACTCTCCGATGCACGGGGGAGGGGACGTTGAGCCCCCCTGTCGGCAACCCCCCCCAGGAAAGCCCTTGTGGCTCCCAATTCTCACTGCTCCCCCTCCCCCAGCAGCGAGGGACCCAGGCGTCCGACCTGGCTGGGGGGTGGAGATGAAGAGGCGTCCGGGGAATGGGGGTGTTGAGGTGGGAGGGGAGGCTGAGGGGCAGCTCTGAGCTCGGGCCCCGAGGGAGAGGGGGTCGGGATGGGGGAAAAGAAGGTGAGGAGACAATTTGGTTCCCGTGTCGCTGGGTAAAGTGCGGAGCTGGAGGACGAGAGAGGGAAGGAGGAGGGAGGGAGGGGGAGGGGAGCCGCTGAGGATGGGGGAGCCACGGAGAGGAGATGGATGGGGGGGAGGGAAGTGATGGGGGGCAGGGTCTGGGTGGCAGAAAGAAGCTGGGGAAAAAGAGAGAGACCCAGAGAGGGAGGGAGAGAGACAGAGCCAGGAGAAGCGGAAAGAGAGAGACCCAGAGTCGGGGAAACAGAAATGGGGGAGGGAGAAATTTGGGGGAGGCAGCGGCTGGGGGCAGAAGGAAGTTGGAGAGGGAGACACACACACACACACACACACACACACACACACACACACACACACACACACACACACACAGAGATATCCAGAGAGAGAAGGGGACAGAGGCAGAGATGCAAACAGAGAAACGCAGAGACTGGGGAAGAAACGGGGGATGGGGAAAGGTTGGGGCGAGGGAGAGGATGGGGGGTCAGGATCTGGGTAACAGAAGGCAAGAAGGGACAGAGAGAGAGTCATCCAGAGAGGGGGAGGAGAGACAGATGGGGAGAGAAAGACAGAGAGAGACTGCGAGGATGGGAGAGAGAGAGAGGGAGAGAAAGAAAGAAAAAGTGGGGAGAGAAATTGGGGATGGGGCAAAGGTCTTAATAGAGAGAAGAATACTAGAGAGAGACAGAGAGAGAGAAGAGAGAGAAAATTTTAAAAATTTAGGGGAGAGGGGTCTGAGTGGCAGAAGGTGCCCGGAGACAGAAAGGCAGATACAGAAGGAAAGAGAGGGACCCAAAGAGAGAGACAGATGGGGAGAGACTGAGACTGGGAGAGAGAGAGAGACCCAGGGAACGAGACAGAGGTAGAAACTGGGGAGGCATCAAAAGGAAGCCGGAGAAAAATAGGAGAGGGGCCAGTCTCAGATGAATGAAGGAGGTCGGAGATAAAGGATACCCCTGCCCCCTCCCCCACCCGCATCCCCAGCCCCTGCTCCCTACCCCCATCCCCATTTCAAAGCCACCCCCCCACCCCCACTAGCCTCCATCTCTCCACAGCATCGCTTGCCGCCACCGCCTCTTCCTGTCGTCATAGCAACAGGATCCAGGCGCCCAGCCAAGGCTGGCAGCAGCGGCCGGAAATGAGGGGAGGGCCTTTTAAAATGGACCCCAGGAGCTCTCCCCTTTCCCAAAATCCAAGGGAAAGCTCCTCCTCCCCGAGTCTTCCCACCATTCCCCCCCACCAAGTGGCAAGGGCAAAGAGCCACTGAAAATAAAATTATACTAAACTTACAAGGATAGAAAGCCTTTTGAGTTTCACCAAGAATTTTTTTTTCTTCTTACCGGCTACCCACCCCTAGCTCAAAGAGTTAGATTCCCCCAAGATGGGGATGGGAGTGAGGAGAAAAGTAGGATGTGTAAAGCTTGAGTGGAAATAAGTTTTAAAGAAGATTGTCTGGGGTTGGGTCGGAGGGCTATGCAACAGTTTTGAGAAGACTGGATTTGCAAGTTCTAGAACTAGCCAGTGGGTAGAAGGTGGGACAACTCCAGGGAGAAAATCTCAGATGAGAGTCAGAAAGTTCGGTCTTGGGTTCAAATCTCAGAGACGCCTGTAGCCACTGTGTGACCTTGGGCAAAACATTTCCTCTCTTCTAGACTCAGCTATAATGGGTGCAAAAACTGCCTGCAATTAAACGGGAACATTGGTGAGAAAAGGTCTTTGCATGCTGCTCTAGACAAGCAGTTATTTCAAGACTGTGTCTTCACGGGAACGTGATCAAAAATTAAGCTAGCCGTAACCACAGACTTGGGCTAGGGAGTCTGCATACTGTCTCACGGAATTCTTACACAATCTTTGTAATGTGGGTACTGATATTCCCATATTATAGGTGAACAAACTGAGGCTTGGAGATGTGCAGTGACTTGCCCACGATCACCCGGGAAATACAAAGTCAGCACTGGAGATGAAGCAGCCTCTTTGTGGGGAGTTGCCAGGAACAGTCAGCAATAGGTGAACTTCAGAGGCACTTAACCATTCATGTGTCAGCTCCTGCCTTTTGAGGGCTGACAGAAGACAAAAAACCCGAGCTCCCCACACATTCAATCACCTCCCCTGAAGGAGCATCTCAGATTTCCACTGGAATTTCTTCAGGGGAAAGGAGTTTAGAGAAGCATTGTGACACCCTTGGTTTAGAAGCAAAGAAATACCAGCCTCGAGGGAAGGGGCCTGGAATTCATTCGTTTGAGAAACATTTGTTCAGCAACCCCCCCCCCCCCCCCGCCGTTCTTTTGCCAGGGAGGATACAGCTGGGGACAATAATGGTAATTGATATAAACTGAGTGCTGAATGTTACAGACTCTAAGTGATTTGCCTGCACGGACTAGGTCTTCCAGGTTCTCTTATTAGCCCCCATTTTAAAGATGCGAGGCTGAGAGAGGTAAGCACATCCTGCAGATAGGAAGCAGTAACAATGGAAATCAGAGTCAAGTCTTCCGATTCCAGAACCTGTGCTATTTTCACTGCTTCTCTGTCCTTTGGTGGGGGGAGGGGGGTGTTTATATCCTAAATGGGGGAACTATAAATAAACAAACACAAAAACAAATACTTTGAAAGGGCGAAAACACCAGGAAGCTGATAAAATAAGCTGAAGTTTCTAAATCTTGGAACCATTGACATTTGGGCTGGATAGTTCGAAGGGCGGGGCGTGGGGAGGGCGCTGTCCTGTGCGTTGTAGGATGTCCAGCAGCATGCAGGGACTCTGCTCACTAGATGCCAGTAGCAAGGGATTATAATCAAAAGAATTCAGTCTGTTCCACCTCAAATCCTGCTCCATACTGGAAGTCTTTTAACATTTTCAGCTGTTTCTTCTCTTACTTGCCTTTGCATCCCTAAATAATAATTATCTTCTAGATGTGTCAGCAATATACATTGTAGATTCTTCTCTCTGATAGATAAGGATTTAACTCATGGAGACCTCATTTTTCCTCCCTATAAGTATTTTTAATTCTTCTATTGGTTAATTTTGTGGCATTAACTAATAGACTTATATCCTGATTTCTTCTTTCAGAGGGCATATCTTTTCTCTCCCTTTTTAAGCAGCTTTCTTGAGATAGAACCCACATACCATGCAATTCACTCAAAGTGTATAATTCAATGGATTTAACTATAATCATAAGATAGTGCAAGCATCCACCTTAGATCCATTATAGAACATTCTCCTTTGCCCAAGGAGATATCACACAACCCTCAGTCACCCCCAATCTCCCCACACCCCCAATCTCCCCACCCAGCGCTAGGTAATCACTAATCTACTTTCTGTCTGTACAGATTTGCCAATTCTAGACGTTTCATATAAATGGAATCATATAATATATGTTCACTTGTGATGGGCTTCTTGTGCTTAGCGTAATGTTTTCAAGGTTCATTCATGTTGTAGCAGGAATCAATACTTCATTTCCTCTTATTGCAGGATAACATTCCATTGTACGGATAGACCACATTTCACTATTGGATATTTGGCTACTATGAGTAATGCTGCCGTGAACATTTGTGTACACATTTTTGTGGGAAGGTATGTTTTCACATCTGTTGGATGTATACCTAGGAGTGGAATGTCTGGATCACATGTTTATCCTTTCGAGAAATGAGGCAGCATCTCTGGACTTCATTCTGCAAGACAGAAATATTAGACCCACTGAACAACTATTCAGCTCACTGACGGACTCTTCAGAAGGGCTGTCCCAGAAGATGCAGGTTATGGACGCTTTCAGCTCTCATTTCTAAATATGCTCAAGAATTCATCTCACATTAGCCGAGGTCTCC